GCACGAGGCGTGACTTCTCAGAATGGGCTCATTGAGTGCAGCATGGATAAGATCTTGGAGAAGCTTACGGCTGCCGTGAATACTCAGAATAAGACCTCTGAGCGCAAATTGGATCACATCTTGGAGAAGTTCACTGCGGTTGTGAGTTCTCAGAATCTGCTCTTTGAGCACAAGAATGACAAGACCACGGAGCGTAAGTTTGATAACATCATGGAGAAGCTCGCGGCTCTCCAACGGGAGATTGAGAGTCCAGTGTTGGACTGTTAAGAACAGGTTTGAAATTCTCATGAGTTGTTCGCACTAAAGAAAACCACCATCATAATGCGGCTATCCCTTCGGCGCCAGCTAAGGGCTCAAGGCTGGAGCTGAACAAAAACACCCTGATAACGACTGTGTTTAGACTGTTCTTCCCATTCCCTGCAAGGCCACCTGGGTTGGCTGGAAGACTGTTTACTTAGCCTGGCAGGGCAAAGGACACTGTCTCAGCTGAACTCTGGACACGCACACACATACACATACACTGATAAGCACTCACTTATCTCCCCCTTCCTTTCCAAACGCCTTCGATGTTTGTTCCCTCCTGGAGAACACAGCAGGTCTGGGCCCGCGCAGGAATGGTGGCGCAGTGCAGGATGGCTGCTGTGTTTGCTTAGGATTACTCCTCACCCCTACCCAACCCTGTGGCTTGTCACGTGCTCCATAATGTTGTGCTGTGGACATTTATGCTGTGGACATGATAGCTGTCTGTCTCTGTGACAGGTTGGTACCTGTCAAGGTATAGCTGCCTCTTGCCCTGTGACAGCTAACATGGGCTCCAGTCTAACCTTGACCCTGAAGTGTGTAAGTGTAAGGAGATGCCTGGATGGATAAATTATGGAGGAATCACTGCTGTGTTTGTAATAAATAGATCTAAGAAATATTTCCTGTACAGGATGCGTTGTTTACAGGGTCACGTGTTCTCTGTGTGAAGCAGGGATGGGGAGAGGGGTCTGATGAAACACGTCATCTCTGTTGTTGGAAACTCGAGTTTCGCTCACATTGCATCAGCTCCAGCTGTGCTCCAGGTGTTTTCAGGTTCTCAGTTTGCTGTGCTTCAGATTTGAATCTTACAGGTGTGGCTGCTGTTTTCGACTCACCTGTGCTGCCGGCATTTATTTCCACTCACACCTCACCCTGTTACTTCCTCCTGCTTATCTCACTTCCTTTTATCCCTCCATCTTCTCTTTGATTTCTTTCCTTCACCTGTCCTCCTGGCGGGGAGGTGATGGCTGATTGCCGTCGTTGCTCACGGCGACAGCTCCTCCAAACTGACAGGTCACCCTTCTGATCTTCCTGTTGCCACAGCAACAGACTTGAGATTACACAGGGTGATGTGGTGATGGGCCGCGTGTTGAATTGCAGAGAGACAGATAGCTGTCAGTGTGGCTCGACTGAAATCACACAAAGAAATGTGGAGGGAAGTGTGACCTTTTGGTCTGTCACCACAGCAACAGCAACTTTTTAACTGCTGATGAGCACTCAGTAACCTGTATGTATTTGACCGGCATCAGCTTTTAAATATTGACCAGTATTTTAAAGCAATTAAAGTTTGGAACCAGCAGATGGATCTGAGGTTGTTCAGACTGCGATCAGTTACTGGCACCAACTCATCGATCAATCACAGAGGTTGTTATCAACTCGATAACGTAGCTATGAGTTATCAGTTGAGCTATGATGTGTTCATTTGAAAGAGGCAGAACTTGTAATCAGTCACAAATGTGGACAGGTGTACCAGCAGGAGAGAGAGATTGACTTTATAAGAGAAGAAGAAATAATAAAATGAGTGCGGTGGCTGCAGACAGAGCAGCAGCGCGTGAGGAAACCAGAGTTAAACCTTCATGAACATAATGATAGACCGGATCAGTGTCTCTGTGAGAGTGCTGTTTCTGTGTGAAATAAAGCGAGGAGGCCAGCGGCTCACACTGAAAGTTCTTTTATTAAGACATGGATTTCAGGTGTTGCTTGGTTTCTTTTGTTTCATCGACATTACAAACATTCAGAGGAAACATTCTCCACGGCAATGTGCAAAACAGCGTGAGAAAGGAAAACCAGAACATTGTCATTCAGAGCAACCGGCTGCCGCTCGGCCTTCACATCCATTCTGTTTGTTTAAAACTGATCCAAACACACAAACAACAGCAAGCTTCACTGATTTTTAGCACAAAAAAATAAGAGAAATACGTCTTTAGATGTACACAGCTGCAGGTAATTCAGGTAAAAAAAAAAAAGAAAGCCAATAACTGTGCTTCTTTAAACCCTCAGTGGGCCAATTAAACCTGCCGCTGTCCTCATCGAGCTGCACTATCTTCCAAACATGAGTATTGATGAATTCCACTTTATTCATTTATGTCATCTGTGCTTCTTTCTTTTATTCACAGTCGTGTTGGAGTCTGTAACTGCAGATTCCTCAGATCCCAATCCGATCCAGCATCGATCCACGGGTGTCCTGCCAACAGCCAGCTGGTTGTCATTAGAAGGAATTTAGGTTTTTACATTAGCTTCACCTCTCAGACTCACTGTAAGTGTCTATGGAAGCTGGTTAGATTAGTCCAGCTTCATCTGAGAGTAACTGCTTCCCGTCATATTACTATTTATTATCTTAGATTCATCTTTGGAGGTTGATAAAGTAAATAAAACTTGCAACGCAGAGGCAGCAGAGATATGATAAATCCCACAGGTCCCAGATCTGCACCGAGGACGGGGAGGATGGCTTCTTTTTACGTGGTGTCAAAAAGAACAAGACGTTGTTATGTTAAACTAGTCTAAACTCCTGTTGGTCTTCAATTAATGTACTTAATTCTTGGTCAATTTATTTTCTGTGTTTCTTGGACAGATGTGAAGACTCACAGCAGCTCATTGAAGATTTCCTGTGAGTTCAGATTATTTGTCAGATGCCCTTGTTTTACCTGTATATTACCTGCCTGCGCTTACAAGACGTGAACACAGGAACATTTGGCTTTAAACTTCAGACCTTGACTGACTTTGAACCGGCAACATCTTGGCACAAAAAACAAACAAAACACACACAAACACGCTGTCCCTCCAACAGCTGTCCCTGGTGCCATCGAAGGGTCCTCAGTGGACCCATAAACTGGTCCCAAAACACGCACGCAC